TGGTCTACATAGTGATTTCAGGCAAGCTGGGGCTACAGGGAGACCCTGTCTCAAAAAAAGACCAAAAATAAAATAAAATAAATTAAAATAAATTAAAATATAAAATAGGCTATAAAAGATAAGAACCAAAGAGTCCATTGCAATTTGCAATTTAGTATTTTCCTTTGCTAGAGTCAGATGGGTGAAGTGCTATGTGTGGGTGGGGTAGGAGGATAGTGAAGCGGATTACAGGAGTGAAAACAAGAACTGAAGAATATAAAGTGTGACATAGATTGCAATAAATTAAAATAAATTAAAATATAAAATAGGCTATAAAAGATAAGAACCAAAGAGTCCATTGAATCTTGCAATTTAGTATTTTCCTTTGCTAGAGTCAGATAGGTGAAGTGCTATGTGTGGGTGGGGTAGGAGGATAGTGAAGCGGATTACAGGAGTGAAAACAAGAACTGAAGAATATAAAGTGTGAGAAAGATCATAGATTGCTGGGCATGGTGGCACATGCATGTAATCATAGGACTTGGGGATGGATGCAAGAAGACCAGGAATTCAAGGCCATCCTTGACTACATAGCTAGTTCAAGGCCAGTCTGGAATACATGTCTCAAAAACAAAACTATTCTTTTATGGATCTTGACTATAAAAAGGAGAAGAAATTTGACTTTTAGTACAGGTATAAACCAAGTGCAAAGAGAATAGAGAATAGCATTAACAGTGACAGAGTTTGAGTACTTACTGCCTTTTAGAACTAATCTCTAATTATTTAATGTCCCCTTCATCATTGCACAATGTCTTTCACAGTCAGGGCTGGTATATACTGAAGATGAATGGCAAAAAGAATGGAATGAGTTGATCAAGCTAGCCTCAAGTGAACCCAGAATGCATCTAGGTACCAATGGAGCCAGTGGTGGTGGGTAAGTATGGCTAAGTGGGGGAATAGGAAATAATCTTTGTGGAGTCTTCACTGAGCTCTGAGATCTTCCACAACCCTGAATCTTAAGAGCTTTGTGCTAAAAGGATATTGGAGGGGGGCGAGAAGCCATGGCAAGGGCACAGACATATGTAGTAGCACAGTATATTTTTGGAACTATTGCTCAGTATTGCTACAATATAGAGAATGTGGTGCAAAGTGATAGATGAGACTGGGTAGCCCTCATTATGTGCCATGCTGATGTTTCTCTTGTACCATGTTAAGGAATTAGGATTGTATCCCTGGTAGACTTTGGAAACCTGCAGGACAAATAGGTCATCCTCATCAGTAAATAAATTACAAGGAAAATAAAAAGGGACAAGGAACTTAGGGAACCAAGAACATTCATAAAACTTATCAATTGGACTGTGATCACTTCTCAGCCTTTTGGCTAAGATCAAGTGTGTAGTATCAATTGGAATGTGAGAGCATTTATAAGAGAATTGGGAAAATGTGAATAATGTACTACATGTTAGAATTTTTAAGTGTGATTTAAAAGATATTGTGGTTTTTAAAAAGGATTCCTTTTCATACATAAAAACTGAAATATATACAGATGAAATAATATTCAGGATTTGCTTCAAAATAATCCAGTGGAATGGAAAGGGATAAGGAAGCAAACTGAGGTTTAAGTGAAGTGAAATTGGCCATGTATTTATAACTGTTTAAGATGGGTGGTAGATACATGAAGTTTAGTGAAATAGTCTTTCTTTTTCTAGTGTTGAGGACTAAACCCAGGGTCTCAAGCATACTAAGCATATGCTGTACCACTGAGTTATATTCCCAGCCCCCTGTTGTTCTCTCTAGTATTAAATATGCTTAAATTTTTGAAAACTTCCATAATAGGAAATTAAAATTATAATAACATGTAAGAATAATCTTGGATAATTACTTAAGATGCAAATTTTTGAACTACCATCCCATGAAATTCTAGTTGAGTTAGCATGAGTTGTAAGGCTCAGAAATCTGAGTTTGTACAAGCCCTCAAATGTTGAATAACATTGCTGGCTGAGGGATAAGAACCTTTGAATTTTAAGTATGAGATTCATGAGCAAATTTGTGTATTTGAATAACTGATACTCAAGCAGATGAAGAAGTGGAGGGAGACTGAGACTAGCAGCTGTAGAAATAATCCACAGGCCAGGGCTGAGGGTGTAAACAGAGTTAGAATGAGATACGTCAGAGGAGATCAGTAGAAGAGACACATAGGGAGTGGAGTTGATTCAGCCATGTGATTGGTTGAAGATAAGTGATAAAGAAGAGTAAATATTTTACAAATTTTGATCCAGCTACTGGGTAAATGGTGAAGCTGTTCTTTAAGGGAGCAGGATGAGGGATCTGGAGGTTTTCTTTCCTATGGCACGAATGTAGTGTATATTGTGGGTCAGGTAAGTGGGATGAGGCTGTGAGGTTGTGTCTTGGGCTATATGAGGAAGGTTGTCAAACAGATGAATATTAAGAGTTAGGGATTACCTCCAGATTTTTTTTTTAACATTTTAATTTTTTTGTGTATGTGCTTGGGAGTTGGTGATGAGTGTGCAGGTACCACTATGTGGGTGGAGGTCAGAGAACAACTATGGGGAATCAGTTCTGTCCTTCCACCATGTGGCTCAAGCCTGGCAGCAAACACCTTTACCCATCTCGCCAGCCAGGCCCTTACTTCCATATTTTTAGCACCTTTTCAACCCCAGAGCCTTTTTTTGGATTTCTCCATCATTGAAATGGAAATAAAAAGACTTATTGTAGCATAAAATAATCGGTGATAGTGGCAGCCTTAGGAGCAGAAAACCAAGGGAAGGCATTTTTCCCCCTCATAGGAACTGATTTCAGGACTCTTGTTTTCTTCCCTCTCCCTTCCACTCTCTCCTCCTGTCACTGTAGAGTGGAGAGTTCAGAGGAGCCCGTGTATGAGAGCCTAGAAGAGTTCCATGTCTTTGTCCTTGCTCATGTGCTCAGGAGGCCCATAGTTGTCGTGGCCGACACCATGCTGAGGGACTCCGGAGGGGAAGGTGAGTTAGCCAGTCAGTCCTCATTCTACTTCAAGAACTTTCCCACCCCCACCCCCCTGTATGCAGAGCCTTGGGCTGAACACTGACAGGATGACAGAAATGAGGATATATAGACCTGGGGGGAAAGGAAAAGGTAGAAATTAAAACAATGTAAAATTCTCAAGCAATTCAAAGGAAAGCTCTTGGGGTTAATTTACAAGACTTCTTGGGAAATAATTATTAAATAAATTAGAAGGAAAGATGTTCAGAACTCATTGAGGCCAGCTAGGGCCTCAATCAAGACACTCTATTTAAAGGGAGTTGGGGAGCTCAGTTGGGGAATGGGATAGAGAGACTGTGAACTAGGCAAAGGGATACATACCCTTAGTAATGACCTTTATGGCTTCCTGCAGCATTTGCCCCTATTCCTTTTGGAGGAATCTATCTGCCCTTGGAGGTTCCAGCCAGCCAGTGTCACCGATCTCCTCTGGTGCTTGCCTATGATCAGGCCCACTTTTCTGCACTTGTATCCATGGAGCAGAAAGAGAATGCCAAGGAACAAGGTGCTGAATCAATGTCTGTGTCTCTGTCTTTTGCTCTGCATTATTTTTGCTTCAAAAATGGAAATGTTAGGAGGAAGAAAGGGTTAAGGCCCATGCGAGCCCAGATACTGCCAGGTTATTTTTTTAAAGCCAAGTTATATAATATTGTCAGAGTTTTTTAATTAAAATAAAAAATTTTTGGTAGGGGCTGGAGAGATGGCTCAGCAGTTAAGAACACTCACTGCTCTTGCAGAGGACCTGGGTTGGATTCCCAGCACCTACATGGTGGCTGCAAACTGTCCTTAACTCTAGTTCCAGGGGAATCTGAAGCCCTCTTATGACCTCTGTGGCATTGCACGACATGGGTGTACTCACATACATGCAGGCAATACACTCATACACATAAAATAAAAATAAATAAAATACTTAAAAGATTTTTTTTTTGATGAAGAATATCTTCTGTTCCCTGTTCTGGAGCAAAGGTCTTGTGTTATAATTATAAGACCTTCTAAATGTTGCTTTGCTGTATTTGTCTTGTCTTTAGGACTTTGAATCCCTGAATACACAGTTTTGGCAAGAACATCATGAGAGCTGGAGAGTCAGGGCAATTAGAGATTAGTGGCCTAAATTTTATACTGGGTGGTAGGGGAAAAGGAGCCTATTGGACTTTAGTGTCAGAGTGATTCACATATAAGAGTTGAGAATTCGGGGCTGGAGAGATGGTTCAGTGGTTAAGAGTACTGACCTGCTCTTGCAGGTTTGAATCCCAGCACCCACATGGCATCTAACAGCTGTCTATAACTACAGTTCCAGGGGATCTGACACCTTTTTCTGTCCACCCTCTTGTGTCCTCTGTGTCACTGCATGACACAGGTGTACTTACATGCAGGCAAACCACTTGTACACATAAAAGTAAAAGTAAATAAAATAAAAATTAAAAAACCCAAGAGTTGAGAATTGGCTGCCATTAGTCATAAACCTGTGTATGATTTTAATGAAGTCAGTATATGTTCATTTGCCTTCTTCCTTCCTTTCTCAAGATGTCCCAACAGCATGTTTTTCCCTCCACAGCTGTGATACCGCTCACAGATTCAGAGCATAAGCTGCTGCCTCTGCACTTTGCTGTGGACCCAGGAAAGGGCTGGGAGTGGGGCAAAGATGACAGTGACAATGTCCGATTGGCCAGGTGAGACAAGCTTAGCTGTTTTGTCTACTTCACAGCTGAGCTCTTCTTCCACATGCAGTAGCCCTGTCCCCACAGGTTTTTCTTAGCTCAGAGGCAAGACGGTCACATGCTGACTCTAGTTTGGGAAGATGAAGAGATGGAGGACTGGCTGGGCATCAGAACTCTGGGATCTTGCAGCTGCTTTGTCTTCCTTGCTTGTTCTTTTCTTTGAGTAAGGAGAGTATTCCTGCCTGGATACATCCCAGAACCCCCAAAACGGTGCAAAAATCAAGATAATAAAGCACATTTGATTCTAAGCCTATGTCAGAAGAGTTTTAAAATAATTAACCAAAATAATCTGCTCTTGAATTTTATCTTTCTGGCATGTAGATAGCAAAGGAAACTCACCCATCCCTCAAACCCTCCATCTTGCCTTCCTGTGGTCTGTTTAGCTAATTCCTCCTGCCTCCCTCCATAACGTCTCTACAGAGCATATGAATGTTAAAAATTCATCCCTACCTCTTACCCAGTGCTTCTTCTTTAGAGACTTGGAATTTTGGGAGCTGACTGAATGGGTTTGACTTTAAAGTCTAGTGCTTAATGGCTTTAAAAAATATAAGATCTGGGGGCTGGAGAGATGGTTTAGCAGTTAAGAGCACTGGCTGCTCTTGCTGGAGGACCTGGGTTTGATTCCCAGCATCCATGTGTTGGCTAACAGCTGTCTATAATTCCAGTTCCAAGAGATGTGATGCCCTCTCCTGGCTTCTGTGGGCATTGCATGACATGGGTGTACATAACTCATAAAATTAAAAAAAAAAGACTTAGAGCAGGCATGGTGGCCCACATTTACCCTAGCACTCAGGAGGCTAAGGTATAACAACAGTAATAACAATGCCTACTGTTTAGCATCTTCTAGTTTCCTGACACTGTATGGAGTCCTTTCCAAAGGAGTACTTTGCTTCTAAAAGGTCATAGTATGTTAAAATTTTTTTTTCTCCTTTTTGCAGTATAATTCTATCCCTGGAGGTCAAATTGCATCTGCTGCATAGCTATATGAATGTGAAGTGGATCCCGCTGTCCTCTGATGCACAGGTGAAGGCTACGCCAACCCATAACCTCACTTTCAGAGTGAGAACAAGATCTGGCTATGCTCACCCTCAAATCTGTTCTAAGTGATAGCTTCTGAGTCTAGAAGATAGAATACTCCTTCCTCCCTTCTACCTGTTAGTTTCCTTTATGGTCTATATGTCTTCAACCAGGCTCTGCTTTCTCATTTACTTGTCTTTTTTTTTTTTTTGAGACAGAGCCTCCCTGTAGCCCCAGCTGTTCTGGATTTGCTATGTAGACCAGGCTGGCCTTGAACGCACAGAGAACCGCCTGCCTCTGCCTCCCAGGTGCTGGGATTAAAGGCTTGCACCACCGAGCCTGGTTAAAACTATATTCTTAAAGAAACTCTTTTTAAGAAAATTCTTTTTGATTTATTTTTATTTTGTGTATGAGTATTATGCTTGCATAAGCGTAAGTGCACCCATGTTGTGCCATGCCCACAGAGGTCAGAAGAGGGCATTGGATCCCCTGGAACTGGAGTTACAGATGCTTGTTAGCCGTTATGTCAGTGCAGGGATTCGAACCTGAGTCTTCTGCAAGAACAACTGGTGATCTTAACCTCTGAGCTATCTCTCTAGCCCCAAGAAAAACTTTTTTTTGGTCTTCTTGAGACAGGGTCTCTGTGTAGACCCAGCTGGCCTGGAACTTGCTATGTAGACCAGATTGGCCTTGAACTCATAAAGATCTGCCTGCTTCTGCCTCTGGAATGCTGGGATTAAAGGTGTGTGCCACCACACCCAGCTAAGAAACTTAAAAAAAAAAAAATTATCTATCTATCTATCTATCTATCTATCTATCTATCATCATCTATCTATCAATTTATTTATTTTGGCCTTTTTGAGACAGGGTCTCCCTATAGCCCCAGCTGTCCTAGAACTCACTATGTAGACCAGGCTGGCCTTGAACTCACAGAGTGCTGGGATTAAAGGTGTGAGCCACTACATGCAGCCCTATTTTTATTTTTATGTGTATGAGTGTATTGCCTGCATGTATGTGAGTGCACTCATGTCCTGCAGTGCTGTGGAGGTCAGAAGAGGGCTTCGGATTCCACTGGAACTGGAGTTAAGGACAGTTCGTAGCTGCCATGTAGGTGCTGGGACTCGAACCTGGGTCCTCTGCAAGAGCAGTCAGTGCTCTTAACCACTGAGCCATCTCTTCAGCCCCAAGAAACACTTTTTAAAGAAAAAAACCAAAGGCCTGGTGTGGTGGTGCGTAAATTTAATCCCAGCAGAGGCAGGTGGATATCTGTGAATTTGTCCCTACCCCTCCTGTGTAGATAGATCTCTGTTTTGATCAGAAACAGACAATATCAAAAGAGTTCCTGGTTACATGAGTTTAGGACCACAGGCAAACCTATGAACTCTAGAGTGCTGAATGTATAAAAAGTACGCTTGATTGCTTGTGATTAGTTAAAATTTTCTTAAGATTAATTTTGAACAGAATTTGATATAGACAAACATGTAATAAAGATCATTCTGGTATCTGAAAAGTATTTTTCCAGCCGGACATGGTGACACATGTCTTTAATCCCAGCACTTGGGAGACAGAGGCAGGAGGATCTCTTTGGGATCAAAGCTGGCCAGCTTGGTCTACATAGTGAGTTCTAGGTCATCTGGGGCTACAGGGAGACCCTGCCTCAAGAAAATAAAAAGTCAGAGGCCTTGTATTGTATTGCTTCATTGCTCTGAAGCAGTTAGGCTTTGGATATATCCTTGTTAGAGAAGGGTGTCGAATTAGAGTGAGTGGGATAAAAGATATCAGGTTATATCCTCCCTTGGCCATAGCAGAGCTACCTGGAGCCAGTGAAGGGCAGTGGCCTCCTGGGTGACTCTTTTCTCATGTCACTAGTCCTGCTCTGGTGCTGAACAGTCACTCTAAGGATGGAGTTCACAGTATACATTCTACCCTTTTTCTACGTTGCTAATTCCCATAGCAGGGACTGCAGGGAGCCCTGTGAACCAATAGATAGATTCCAGGTCTGTGGGAGTTTCCCCACAGCAGCCCAGTCAGATAATGGTCAATGTTGTTCTTATTTCTTGTAGGCTCCTCTGGCCCAGCCTGAGTCCCCAACAGCATCAGCTGGAGATGAGCCCCGATCCACTCCTGAATCTGGAGAATCAGACAAGGAGTCGATTGGCAGCAGTTCTACCAGCAATGAGGGTAACAGGCGGAAGGAGAAGTCAAAAAGAGATCGGGAAAAGGACAAGAAAAGAGCAGATTCTGTGGCTAACAAACTGGGCAGCTTCGGCAAAACCTTGGGCAGCAAGCTTAAGAAGAACATGGGGGGCCTGATGCACAGCAAGGGCTCCAAGGCTGGAGGGGTGGGAATTGGGTCAGGGGTAAGCAGTGGCACCGAGACACTGGAGAAGAAGAAGAAGAATAACTCACTGAAGAGCTGGAAGGGTGGCAAGGAGGAGGCAGTGGGGGATAGGCCTGTATCTGAGAAGCCCACATCAGAGTCTGTTGGCAATGGAGGGAGCAAGTATAGCCAGGAGGTGATGCAAAGCCTGAGCATTATGAGGATTGCAATGCAAGGGGAGGGCAAATTTATTTTTGTTGGAACCCTGAAGATGGGTCATCGGCACCAATATCAGGAGGAGATGATCCAGCGCTACCTTTCAGATGCTGAGGAGAGATTCCTGGCAGAGCAGAAGCAGAAGGAGGCTGAAAGGAAAATCATGAATGGAGGGCTAGTTAGTGGGCCTCCTCCAGCCAAAAGGCCCGAGCCAGATGGTGGGGAGGAGCAGCCTAGTACCTCCCCAGCAGAGTCCAAGGCAATGGCATTCTCCACTGGCTACCCTGGGGGCTTTACTATCCCTAGACCTTCTGGGGGTGGAGTCCACTGCCAGGAACCCCGAAGGCAGTTAGCAGGGGGTCCATGTGTAGGGGGGGTACCACCATATGCCACCTTTCCCAGACAGTACCCTTCTGGGCAACCCTACCCTCACCAGGACAGCATCCATTCTCTGGAGCCAGGCAAGGATGGAGCTCACAGGGGTGCTTTGTTACCACTCCATTTCCGCGTGGCTGATTCCTATAGCAATGGCTACAGAGAGCCTCCTGAGCCAGATGGATGGGCTGGTGGTCCCCGGGGGCTTCCCCCAACCCAGACCAAATGCAAACAACCGAACTGCAGCTTCTATGGACACCCTGAGACAAACAACTTCTGCTCTTGTTGTTATAGGGAAGAACTGAGGAGGAGGGAACGGGAACCCAGTGGGGAACTGCTGGTACACAGGTTCTGAATGGGTAGAACTGAGGAGGAGGGAACGGGAACCCAGTGGGGAACTGCTGGTGCACAGGTTCTGAATGGGTAGAACCTTGAAGGGAAACAGCTAAACAAAATTTAAGCTCAAATCTTTGGCTCATCAAGACCCAGCCATGATGTTGATTGGGCAAGTGCAGAAATGTTTGTGGGGCCTAGAAACTTAAAATGAGTGTGTATGCTGGTGTGCTGCCAGCCTGGCAAGAGCTGGACAGGGCTGTAACAGTGCCTCAAGGGCTGGACTATTCCTTTACAGAGTTCGACTTGAGACTACAGAGGTAGAGGGGGAAGATTGTGATTCTAGCTCATAACCCCTTGGGGTTACTTCCCAGGCCTAAGGAAATGCAGGGAAATGCTTGGTGTATGGGGGTGGGAAGTGGGTGGACATCTGGGGGAGGAACGTGTAAACAAGGTTCTCAGTCAGTTAAAGGAAAAAAATAGACCAAAGTTCATTTAGGTTAGGAAAAAAAGCACAGGGGGTGGAGCTGGGAGTATAGATCGAAACTGAGATCAAACAAATTTGATTTGGGTTTGAATTAGATATTAGGGTTGGATAAATTCTTCCTCATGAAGGATCAAGGCAGTAATGTGTGTTCTTGGTCTGGTTAGAAAGAAAGGATAGTTTAAATCCCAGTTTATGGACATAGGAAAGCGAGGAACTTAAATAAGGGTTTTCTTTTTCCTCTTTATGTTTTATTTTCTTCTAGATAGTCGCCTGCCATCTGTTCTAGTTTTAGGGAGATTGCCTATTGCCCCCTGTCTTTTCCTCATCCTTGCTGAGGACAGCTAACTTAAGAAGTTGTGATTTTTTTTTTTTTGAAAGATTTTATTTTAAAAGAAAGTTCCCTCTGAGAAAGATAAGAGCATTGAGAAGAGAAGCTATGGGCACTGAATTTTCTTCAGCTGAATGGTACAGAGTGATCTATTTTTTTAACTACTTAGCAATAACCACATGTGGGGTTTGAATGCACCTAAGGAGCGGTGGAAGGAGGCCAGATATTTGGCCAGACTGTTTCAAACAAAACCAAAAACCTACATAAAACCCTCTATACTCTGCTGCTGTGTTTCTGTAGAAAGCAACTTATTTTATTGACTAATTTTTTAAAGAAAAAGACCCAAACAAGATTTTTTTAATTACTATCTCCCCCCCCCCCCCCGCAAGTGATTTTTTTTTTTCTCCTTCCTGTCTACTTTTGGAGAAGGAACCTAACATCTTGGCTTCTTTTGTTAAGCCATAGCTGACCTTAATCTGTGGTTAGTTTATTAAAATAACAAAAAATACTTTGTAAGAAAAGTTATTTTTGATATTAGGACTGAAACATGGGATGGGGCTAGGGGCCATTTATAAAGGTAACTAGAGAAATATATTTTAGTGAACTACAGCTACAGGCCACAGATTAGTCCTAGTGAGCTGATCTGCTGGATTGCTCCCTTTCCCTGAGCCAACCCTGTTCTCTAGCGGGTGGGAGTGGACACAGTGAGAGCTCCCTTGCAATTTGCACAAAGCACAAGTCTGGACAGCTTATTCTCTGGCCAGAGCCGTATCTAAGAGCTTTAAACCAGAAGACTATCCTGGGCCAATTTTCTTTTTATTTTTTCTAGGGAAAAAAATCATCTATGCAATTATCTACACTCCTGGGTGCATATGAAGAAGGGGTATAAGTGTACTTAAGTGTCCAGAGTGCTAGCAGGCTGCTTCCATACTGGCATGTCTCTCTTGAGGTTTATACCCATCAGCCATCTAGTGAAATGTAATCCTTACATGTGATCCAAGTCACACATGGCACTGTGCGTGTATGTGTGTGAATTGTGTATGTGGTGTGGAGATTGTCTACATGTTTCTTCTGTCTAGTCAGGAAAATTATTCTATGTGCCTCCCCCCAACTCAGTTAAGGAGGAACAGTTCCTTTTTCCTCAACAAATTTGAAAGTCACTTATGTTCCAAGTCTGTCACTCTGTGGATTTAATAAGTTCCTATTGTGATTTTTAGACTTTTGTTTCTTTGCTATGTAACCCTGGCTGGTAATACTTGCTGTTATAGCCTAGGCTAGCCTTGAATTCATAGCAACCCTCCTGTCTCCGTCTCCTGAGTGCTGGGATACGGTTGTGAGCCCCCACACCCAGATTTCTTAGGGCTGGACCCTGGTCTGAGAGGAGTGTTCCCCACGGTGCATAATTTAAAGGATTTTTTTTTTTTTTTTTGAGACAGGATCTCACTCTGTAGGCCAGGCTGGCCTCAAATTTGTGATTCTCCTGCCTCAGCCTTTCAAGTGCTGGAATTACCCCACACCCATAGATATGTTTCTAAAATTTCAGTATTTAAAACATTAATAACCCCAAACCTATATTGAACAAAATATCAAAACCTTAGGCTCTAACAGGAATGGCACTAGGGTAAGAGAAATGAGCCTCTATTAAACAAACGTGGGATGAATCCTGTCTTCATTTAAATTTTGGTATGTTCATAATTTTTTACATTTTAATTTAAAAAGATAGTGCATCAGGATAGTATTTATCTTGATTGGTGGGTCTTAAGCACTCCTTCAGTTGTGTGCCCAAGGTGAGTGCCTTGTTCAGTCCCATAGGTTTGTCTCATTTCTGAAGTTTGAACAACACTAGTGAGACTGCCATCAACTGAGCTTCTATCCCTTACACACTAGACACCAGCAGCTCAAACCCTCACCCTCATTTGCACTGCTTGCACCACTCCTATATCATAGGATGCTGGCCTGGTAACAGACCAGGGGTTTTCCCAGAGAAGAAAACAAGGGAAGTTGGTTCTCCATTGGACTGCTGTGTTTGAACTTGATCTGTTATTAGATTGTATTTAACACTTTTGTTTTTAAAAACTGAGGACAAATGAAAAACAGAAACCTGTATCATGTTTGTTTTATTTATACTCTACCCACTCCTAATTCCTTTTGCCTTTTCAAAGAGGGGGAAAAAAAGGAATTCTAGGTGGAAGGAAGGGCATTTTAAGAGTGAGTATGGTAAAATAGAGCTTTAGGCTCTTTAGATTTTTGTTAAATTATTTTTTACTTGGGAAGATGACATGGAAAAAATCTCCATTTTAAGGGACCATGAGACAACAGATTTTTTTTTAAAGTAGGAAACAACGAAGTTTATTTTACTTTTTTTGGGGGGGAGAGGGGTTACATAGGTTGGGGTTAAAGAATAATGAATGCCTGGGAAACAAATGACAAAGAGTAGTTCATGATTATTTTTGGAAGAGGAAGGAGAATAGGCAAGTCCATGCAATTACTGTTTTAGGAGGGAGGGTTACATGGAATGCACACAAATGAGTGAAACCTCCCTGGTTAAGGAAGGTTATGTGAGTGATGGGGCAGGTGGACCCTTGTACCCCTTCATAAGATATGACCTCATCTCCTAGGCTTCCATTTAGGTGCACTTAGTTCTTTTACTCCAGGGCATCTGGGGTCCTACTGAAAAGTCTGAATGGAGAGGGGGAAATCAGGGTTCCCATTTTCCTCCTTTTCACTTAATAAACCCTCTCCACCCTACATTATCTTGTCCCCAGTGGAGAACAATACACTATAGGGTAGGTTTCCAAACCCTTTTAACCCATGCTAACTTAATGGACAGTTGCAAATGGTTTTTCCTCATACTTGTTTTTGTAAATGATAGAAATTATATATATTTTAGGGTTGTTTTGGGTCTTTTTGAGACAGGGTTTCCCTATAGCTCCAGCTGACCTGGAATTCACTATGTAGATCCAGCTGGCCTCGAACTCAGACCAGCCTACCTCTGCCTCCCAAGTGCTGGGACTACAAGTGTGTACCATGCTCGGCTCATATTTTTCAGTTTTTAACACTCAATCTCTTGAAGAGTAAGGGATAGTGTTTAAGGCCTTAAAACAGAAGCACCTTCCCTCTCCATAGGTTTGGTTTCTTCTCATAGCAAAACCAAAGTCCACAGATCAATAAAGCAAATTGCCAGTGACTTTTCATTATTTGGGAGGTGATGCCAAGAGCTGGCTCTGAGATCTGGCCCTTGCCATTCCTACACCTTCCAATCACAGCACAAGTTTCCAGTCACTTTCTTTTCTCTCAATAAAGGAACATTCAGAAATGATTGGAGTTATTCAGACACCTCTGGACTCTCTTTATCCAAGCAGGCAGTGCTCAGCCATCTAGCCACAGGTGAGAGGACAGAATTGGAAGCCTTTTCCTGGCCTGGAGTCACCTGCACCCCATGTGTTTAGAATTTTCTTCTCTTCCATCCATCCCCTTCAACTGCAATTTAGTGAGTCATACAGGCACTCTTGTCTTTTATTAATACTTTGCAGATACCCAGTCTGTAAATCCAAGGGTACTTTGTTTCCTGTGCTTAAGCTGATTAACAAAATATGTCTCCATATAGACTTTCCCTGTGCCACCTCCCTCCATTGGCTGTGTGGGTAGGGGGCAACAGAAAGCAACAGAAGTTGGTTATGAGGAGCTGGGAGTGGGGAGGACCTTGGCCTCTTTCTGTGCTTAAAACTGGATCTGTGATTCATCCTGTGAGTCACTCAGCTCCACCTCCCTCCTCCAGCTGCCCCTCCCAGCAGCCCTTGCTCCTGGCACAAACCTGTAACCAGAACAGGATTCTGAAAATGGAAAAATCTGATGTAGCCCCTTGTCTCTCTCCACCCTTCCTTTCCATCCAGTGAAGTGGGTTTGTGCTAGGGGTGGTGAGAGATAGTCTTCCTGTCACCTAACACTCAGCTGCTACCCCTGTGCATTCCTGGTTAGGTGCTGATCCAGATCACCCAGTTTATTTTTCCCTCTGATTTTTCCCTATTCTGATTTCCCTCTGTATTCTACTGCTCCCATACCTCTAAGTATTAAATAACAGAATGAGGCTCTTCAAGGGTGGTGGGGAGAAGAAAAGTGGGTTGAAGGGTTTTAAAACGGTCACACCTCTTCCTATGCTGTTTTATTACAGCACATACTTTCTTCCCCAAGACGTCCATGGAACTTAGTGGTGTGTGGTGGTGGTGCAGCCTTTGGGGCTTCTGCAGTCAGGCTTCTGGGCCCCCTTGCTAGCAAGTGCACACCTGTTTGTTCCAGACTGACTTCTGTTTTTGCTAGCTTCACTATTTCCACAGTTGCAGCCAAAACAGGGAACTTTGGAAGCTAAGGCTAGAAGAGGGTGTGTGCTAGGGGGAGGAGAGTGTTGAATGTCACTTTGGAAAATGGACCCCACCCAGGGATTGCTGCCTCTGTACAGACTCAAAAACAATAAAACAACAGCTCATTAACTCCTATTTAGTATTTCATTTCCTGTCTTTTACATGTCAACATTTTTGCTCTCAGCCGCATCTTCGCTTCTCTCCTAGCCCCATACCCCCATCTTTGCTTCCTGGATGTCAGAAGGGAAGGAGGGCTGTGATCAAGGAGCTTTTGAAAAGAGCTTTCCAACCCTTAGTTTTCAAAGTCCTGAACATGAATCATTCATTAGGAGATCTGGTTACTGGGTTGGAGGAGCGGGGTCATGTACCTGGGCTGGGCTGGGGGGTAGGGGAGGAATATGCTGGAGCTGGAAGAGTGAGTGAGTGAGTGAGTGTGTGTGTGTGTGTGTGTGTGTGTGTGTGTGTGTGTGGTGTGTGTGTGTGAAGTGCTAAGATCTTTTCCTTGACTTCCTAGCCTCAGCTCCACTCCCAAGATTTGCACACCCAGCTTATTTGTGCTGTGCCTGAGTCCCAGACACACCAGCTCCTCCTGCTCCACCCTTAAGGTGTGTCACTCTCAGGAAAAGGACACAAGGTCCAGTTCCCATTTACTTTTCTCTAGCACCGTTGTTAGGTTTGTCTGAGAGGTGGTAAGAAGCCCTCGACTACTTTGCATTCTCTCTTTAAACTTAAAAAAAAAATTTTTACATTTTTATTTTATGTGTATGTGTGTATGTAGGTAAGTGCACCCGTGTACTGCAGTGCCCGAGGAGGTCAGAAGAGGCTGTCGGATCCCCTGGGACTGGTGTGACGGACAGTTGTTAGCTGCCATGTGGGTGCTGGGATTTGAACCCGGGTCTTCTGCAAGAACAACTAGTGTTCTTAACTGCTGAGCCATCTCTCCAGCCCCGAATTCTCTCTTTAAGACAAAAATGAAAATAAAAACAAACGTTCCGCCATCACAAAACCCATAAATAAACCAGATAGGAGCCTCCCAGTGTTTTATCACTGAAAGAGCTGAGAGGTAGCCCAAATTGTTCCAGTTTAATAATCACATTACTGCTCCCCTCAATGCCCCAATATTCATGAACAGGAAGAGTCTAAGATGTGGAATTGAGTAAAGAGGGGAATCTGGGTATTTCTCAGTTCCCCCATTTCTCCCATCTTTCTCAAGCTCCTCCATTTCCTCTCTACTTTCTAAAAATTGTGTGTATTCTCCTTTAAGGGGCTGGGCATCCCTCCGGTCCTCTCCAGAGTCCATTGAAGTTTCCGTGGAGCCTCCTCTGCCGGGCAGGATACACCTCTCAAATAAGACCCTCAAATTGCTCCTTTTACCTCAAATGCTCCTTTCTCTTGTGTCCTCCCCCTTCCCTTCTCTCTAACCTCTCTCCCCTCCTCCAAGAATCAACCTCTCTCAGAGAAGTTGAGCATATTTGAGGTCTCCCACCCTTAACTGCTCCATTCCCGGATGGAGTCAGAGAAATGTGGTGGGGGAGCCGGGGCCAGAGTTTCAACATTTTCCCTCAGAAGGAGGATCCAGAGATGGGGGTAAGGAGAAGGAATCTGGAGAGGGGTGGGGGACTGGCTAGAGAGTGTGAATGGGGATGCTGTGGAGATTAAAGGGGAAGGATCTAGATGAAGAGGGTGTGTCTGGCTTATCAACCTCTGTTGATGGAGCTTGGTCTGCCTTCTTCAGTCTCAGGTTCCAGTTCTCATTATCCATTAACCAGCCCCTCCCTGTACTGTCTGCTAACCCTGGGCCTGAGGTCCCAGAAGAGGCAGAGGCTCCATGAGGGTCCCCAAAGGCAGCTGCTGAACAAATCCCAGACCCTGGGGTTGGGGAGGCCCCAGATTAACTCTCCACCCTTCCCAGCTCTCTGGACCAAAGTCTGTCCAGGGAAGCAGGATGCTGGAACCCAGTAGACGTCAGCTTGGCAGTTGTCTGGCCTCTGGTTGCCTCCCAGGTAATAATCTAATCTTCCCCCAGACTTTTCCAGAATTTCTCCTACCTTAATCTTGTTTCATACTCTCATCAAGATACTCCATTGGTTTCCTGTCTCAAAGTGCTTCTGCCTGAGGCTTGTTGTCCTATCTATTCAGAGATGGTTGAGAGTTTGGACCTTGATATTCTCTCTGCTTTCTTGACCTGGTTACTCCTTTACTCAATAGCTAACTGAGTGCCTACTATTGTTCTATGCACTGTTAGAATTACAAAGGTTTTAAAAGATACAAATTCTTTTCCCTCAAGCTTGCATTCTACAAGGTTAGGGAAGGCTTTGAATCTCTTTTTAGATTGCCCTGTCTCAGAGGAGTAGGTGTATAAAAGTGTGGGTAGTACTGGAAATAGCCATAACCTAGCTTCCCTTTTTCCCCCTTAGGGGAGCAGATCCTAGCATGGGCCCCTGGACTGAGGAAAGGGCGGGAACCAGAATTGCCTGGAACTCTGATCTGCACCAATTTTAGGGTCACCTTCCAACCTTGTGGATGGCAGCGAAGTCAGGTGAGATGGTTAATGTAATAGAAAAAAACTGAAGCTGGACATAGTGGCACCTGCTTGTGATCCCAGCATTGGGGAGGCTGAAGTGGAGGATCCTAAGTCCAGGTTAGCCCAGGTTACATACCAATACTGTTTCTAAAACACAAAACAAAATATGGACTACTAGAGTGAAATGGATAAAGGAGTCTAGAAGCAATTAGACAAATACTATGGATTAAGACTTGGCTTTTGAATGTATCAGTGAGGGGAGGAAAGTTCCTATTTCTAGGAAAGTTGCTCTCTGCAGAGGAAGGAGGAGGCACCAAAGTAGGGCATTTCAGATTTCTGTAGCATCAGTTATGTGCTTCCTTTAGGACACTCCCCTGAGCAGTGAATATGATTTTGCCCTGGTCAACATTGGGCGATTAGAGGCTGGTAAGTCAGGGTTGGGGGAGGTTGGTAAAAGGGGTGTTGGAGCCCTCCTCATCCTCCCTATTCTCAGAAGACAGACAGTCAGGGGTGGGTTGGGGGGGTGGACCAGAAGAGTTCCTTCTGGAATGACCCCATAGTTACCCTGCTCTTTAACTCTTGACTTCAGTGAGTGGCTTGTCGCGTGTTCAGCTCCTCCGTCCAGGGTCCCAGCTTAAATTCATCCCTGAAGAGATTCTGATTCATGGCCGAGACTTCCGGCTGCTCAGAGTTGGTTTTGAGGCTAGAGGGCTAGAGCCTCAGGCTTTTCAGGTAAAAAGGCTTTAAGAGAAAATCCTTCCTCATCTTAGAAACCTAGGGTCCTTTCCCTGGCAGTTCCCACTACTACATGCTCCAGGGTGTCTCTCATTTCTCTTGCTGAAGGAGCAGCTTAAAGGCTTAATAAATAATAGTTTAGTGAGGGGGAGGGGCCTGAACTCTAGCCTGGCTCTATCAACTACCAGCAGTAGATGGGTGAGTTTTTGCCTCTGAAAAATGTGGAACGTTGGATAATATCTCGAGTCTTTCAGAATTAATATTCTATGATTCTGTGGTTTCAGATTTGTTCTTCTGACCCCAGCCCCTATGGTCTATGGAAGCCCTCCTTCTCTGGGGTGCTTTGGTGCTCTTCTCTGTTGGTGATTACAACAGTAGAATGAATGTGCTCTATTTCATTCTTTTTACTTCTTCAGCCTAAGGCCAAAGGATGGAATATGTTTTTCTCCTAGGTAACCATGGCCATTGTTCAGGCGAGAGCTCAGAGTAGTGAAACCCAGCCATCTGGAGGAATAACCCTGAGCAAAGCTGGTGAGTGAGGATGCTTTAGGATGAGGAAATGATAAGGAAGTCTGAAAAGGCAGAGAGGGCTAAAGACAAAAGAGCTAAGAAGTTGTCCTTGATTCCTCTGTCCCAGGCAAAGCTTCTAGCTCTGGAAAACCACCTATTCCTCTCTTGGAGACTTTAGAAGACTGGGAAACTGAGAGGAAGAAGCAGGGGGCCAGAGGCTGGAGAGTCAGCACGGTCAATGAGAGGTTTGACGTAGCTACCAGGTGATCTCCTAGTCCACCCTGACCCCTGCTGTCCATCCAGTCTTCCCATAGTTCCTTGATCTTCTAAGGTAGTACTTCCCATAAACTCTAGCCTCCTATGAAATTTGCAAAGTGATTCTCATTACCTCTATCTTCAAACCCTGAGATCCCTTAGAATGGTTTCTCCAAAGCAATTCATGTCAAAACAGCTTTCTACTATCAGAGGTCACTTAGCCAAAGTGTGACATCACTCTTAATTTTTCAGCCTCTCTCGTTACTTCTGGGTCCCTAACCGAATTCTGGATAGTGAGGTCAGAAGAACATTTGCTCACTTCCATCAGGGCCGTGGACCGGTCAGTATGAGATTGCAGGGTCAGAGGCAAGTGATGAGAGGGTTTTCTGTGAGGTCATTATGGGAGCAAGGGTAGCTTGAGGCTAGTTTCTTCAACAATGGTCCTCTTCTCACCCATCTGAAGCGTTTGTCCTGGCATCATCCTTGGGGCAGTGACCTTCTCCGAAGTGGAGGCTTCTATACAGCCAGTGACCCAAACAAAGAAGATATCAGGTAAGGGGTCTTGATAAAATTCAAGGGATAAGTGTTCCAAGAAGAGTCCTTACCTTAATTTCTGACTCCCTTCCTTCCCTCCAGAGCAGTGGAGTCCATGTTGCAGGCTGGGCATTCTGATGTTGTTTTGGTAGATACTACGGATGAGATGCCTAGTCTTGCCGATATCCAACTTGCCCACTTGAAACTGAGGGCCCTTTGTCTGCCTGGTGAGGATAACTTTTGATCCCTGGCCCCTAGGTCTACTGACCCTAACCTAGTTTACTATTTTGTCTGCTATAGATGAATAATCCTTTAGTCCCAGCACTCGGGAGGCAGAGACAGGCAGATCTCTGTGAGTTCAAGGCCAACTTGGTCTACATAGTGAGTTCCAGGCCAGCTGGGGCTACAGGGAGACTGTCTCAAAAAGGCAAAAAATAAATATTATGCCGAGCGTGGTTTCCGCACGCCTATAATCCCAGCACTCAGGAGGCAGAGGCAGGTGGGTATCTGTGAGTTCGAGGCCATCCTGGTCTATAAAGTTCTAGGCCATCTGGGGCTACAGGGAGACCCTGTC